CCTAAATAGGTCACTTATCATCCCCTGGAAAAACAAAAGCATACCTTCAACCCCAGCGCACCTATTTTTACTTTACCTGATTCATTTATCTTTCTGTTGATGTACTTCCATCTTTTGTAAGACTAAACATTTAATAGTATGTATTTACAAGTGTATTTGGAGGGGTTGATTTCCCCTTTGGTTTTTGTAATTGAATTTCATTCATTTTTTTTCTTTTTATGTATTTCCTACATAGTCTCATGATGCAGCTCAGACTTGTAGTGATCCTCCTGTTTGCAGCCTTCTCAGCAGTGGGATTACAGGCATGCACCATCACACCCGGACTAGGTCGCCAGCTCAGCGTGCCCTGGGGGTGGGGCTGGTACTTTGGGAGCTGGGATTGAACTCTGGCTCCTGCGCTTGTCAAAGCAGTTGAATTTCAATCATATGGTGAGAAACCTGAATCATGTATCTTGGAAGAAGCCGTCACATAGCCTCCCTTAACCTTATATGACCCATCTGCAAAAATAAAAAAATTAACTTATCTGAAGAATAATGACAATCTATAACACCAGAGAAATTAGCCCAAACCTGTATGGAACCAATCAATACTACCAAATAAAGTCTGAAAATCATTTTGGTTTGCTTTGAACAGTTTGGGGCACAATATACTTTGATAAGTTGGTGTCCAAAAAAATCTGGGTGTGGTGCTACATGCTTGTAATTCTAGCACTTTGGGAAGTTAAGGTAGGATCACAAATGTCAGCCTAGCCCGTCTCACAAAAAAAGGCTTGGTGATGTACCTCAGGTTGACACTCGTGGGTTCAATGCAAAATGCCACCCCCCTTAAAAAATCAAGAATGGATGATTTCCAGGTGTAATGGCACACATCTTTATTTCCAATACTTGGGATGCTGAGGTAGGATTGTCATGAGTTCAAGGCCAGCCTGAGCTATCTAGTGGATTCAAGGCCAGCTTGAAACACATAGTGAGACCCTGTCTCAAAAAAAAAGGCATGAGTCAGAGAGCAAGGGCTAAAATGAATCATGGCATCCAGATAGGATAAACAAGAGGTGGCTAGCAGATCAGAGATACACCATAGGTATCTCAGAGCATGGGTGCCAAATCCAATAAGGGTTTGACAATTTACCACAAACAAAAGTTTATGACTCACAATTTTTTTCTTTGCTACCAGGAATTAAACTCAGGACTTTTTACTTGCCAGGCATGTAGTTTTGCCCCTGAGGTATATAACTGGTCCTGATTCACAATTTTGCAGACTGATCTACATTCTTAAAGCAGCTTTGACAGACTTTTTTTTAAAAAAAGAATTTATACTTTTTTTGTGTGTGGATCAAACTCACAACTCAGAATCAAACTCAGGATCTTGTGCTTGCCAGGTAGGCATTTATGCCACTGAGCTACTTCCCCAGCAGGAATTTATATACATTTTTGATATCAAATTATATTTCATTAATTTTGGAATCTCCCATCTCTGTAGTTATGTTGTTTTTTCATAAATAATGTTTGTGATATTCATTTCTATTACATCTTGGCAGATGTAAAAGTTTGCCTACATTTTTTGTACTGGACATCTCAAGAACTTACACATGCGAGGTTAAGAATTCAACCACTGAGCTACATCCCCAGCCCTTATTTGAGTTTTGAGACATGGTCTCACCATGCAATTCAGGCTAGTCTTCAACTCACTGTTCAGCCCATGCTTGACTCACTCACAGCAATCCTATTGCCCTACCCTCCTGGATGCTGGGATTACAGGGAGGCATTACCATGTCTGGCCTCCAGTGTTTTTCTTAAAATTCTCAAAGTCTTCTCACTATGTTGCTGTATTGCCCAGACTGGGCTTGAGTTTGGAATTTCCCTGCCTCACCCTCCCAGAGATTGTTGGGATTATGGACATATGCCACCATACCTAGATTCCTATTTTATTATTATTTTTTTTTGTGTGTGTGTGGAACCAGGGTTTGAACTCAGGCCCTTGCGCCTGCCAGGGAAGTGCTTATTCCACTGAGCCATCTCCCCAGCCCCTAATCTGATGATTTTTTTTTTTTTTTTTTTTTTGTGGAACCAGGGATTGAATTCAGGCCCTTGTGCTTGCCAGGGAAGTGCTTATTCCACTAAGCCATCTCCTCAGCTCCGTCCTATTTTAAAACGTGTAAAATATTTGGCTTACAATTTTGTTGCTTCTTGGGACAGTGTCTCATTATGTAGTTCAGGTTGGCCTTAAACTATGTTCATGTAGCCCAAACTGGCCTCAAACTCATGGCAATAAATGTATTAAAATGAGGGGGCGGGGAGATGGCTCAGTGGAATAAGCGCTTCCCTGGCAAGCACAAGGGTCTGAGTTCAATCCCCGGTTCCGGGAAAAAAAAAAAACAAAAAACAATAAATGTATTAAAATGAATTAATAAATTTATGATGTGACAGAATAGGCAGGTTTTTTCAGGCCAAATTAACCAGGTCAAAGGTCCTGTGATTGAAGGTTTAATCAGAGCAGGAAAACAATGTAAGAAGAGTGAAAGTAAGGTTATGTAGCCTTTTACTCAATTTTGAAGAATCTTTGGTTTAAAAGCAAGTAAGAGCCCTTAAATTATGTCGAACAGAGTACTAGGATTTGAATTTCTTCCATAAATAGGCTGATTGTGTGTAATGAAAACAATTGGGGCTGGCCAGATAGCCCAGCAGATTAAAGCACCTGTTTAGATAGACAACAGGGGCCAGGGGTTTGATCCCTGGCCTGCCTACCCGCCCTGCCTCTGAGGCATGCTGAATCAGTGATTGAGACTGGGCGTACAGGCACACACCTGTAATCCCAGCACTTGGGAAGCTGAAAAACAGAAGGATCACTACATGCCTGGTCTGTGTAGTAAGACCCTATACTAAATACATAAAATATATACACAAACACTGGAAAATCCATGCAGTGAAGTTATGGCAAAATGCTACACTAGAAATGAGTGATAGCTTGGGCAATACTAGTAGTTTTGATTAAACAGTCATATATTATTCACCAAGTCTCCAAAATAATTTTTCTCTAATTTTATGTTTATCAATTTAATGAAACGAAGTGATTAACCAGGAGATCTGGCTAAGTCCTCTGGTGTAAGTGGAAAATGAAGTCATGAGCATGGGTGACAGAGTGATTGAGGAGGCTTTAAAAAATGAATTTGTAGAAACACTCCACCCAAGCAGGGTACCTAGGTCTTCCTTACATCTACCATACCCAATATCCTGGTCCTTCAGATTGAATCTTCCTTTAAATTGCTTCTTGAATCAGCATCCATAACCCTATTACCTTTGTACCAGTTTAGATGTCTCCACTTTATATGCACCTATCATCTCTCAACCTTCTAAGCTCAAACTTTCCGCCCTTAATTCATCCTTAATACAAGGCTGTAGGGGCAAATCATTGCCTTTCTCCTCAAAATTCTCTCGTCTTCCCCTTCATAAGTTCTAGCCCTAGAATGAAATGCTGAAATATTGTGGCGGTCATCTAACATGGCTGAAGCCCTGAAACAACAGCTCATCTTCCCAGAGACCACCTCCCCCTTCTCCCCAACCCCAGTCCTGGACACAGTTTCCTTGTACTTTTCTCCAAAGACCCCAATCAGCTTTTTAGGTGTCACTAAACTTGGCCCTCAAACTCCACCCACGGCTAAAGTCCTTAAAGTCTCAGCCTCCCGTTGTCTCAGATCAGAGGGTCCCCCAGCTCCCGGGCATTCTCTCCTTGTCTTTAGAGTTCAAAAAAAAAAAAAAAAAAAAAGGCTTCTTTTATCTTTCCTAGCTCTTTACTGCCACAAGGAAAAAGCTAACAGCCCTTACCATTGACCATCACCCAAATTCCTTCAAGTCCTGTGCAGTCTCTTACGTCTTTTTCCTGGGCCAGCGAATTCATCCCCTCTTGCACTTTGTGCAGCGCAGCGTTTACCCGGCCTCCACTCCGGACTCGCAACCCGCACCCCGCCTCCCGCACCCCGCACCTCGGCCAGGCCCGGCGTCGCGCGATCCCGGGCGAGCCCTCCCTGCGCACTCCGCTCGGGGTCTGACACTGGCGCATCTCCCCGGCCCGCGCAGACGGCCCCAGCCGCTCCCCGGCTGCGGGGCTGCTCCTCCCCAGGCCTCGGCGAGTCGCGCGAAGCCTGGGCACTGCGGCTCTTCCTGGGGCTGAGGCCGGCGGGGAAGGGTGGTGCCGCCGCGGGCCGCGTGCTCTGCCCCTGTGTGCCCCGGCGGGAGCCGCTCGGACGCTGGGACCGGGTGCGCACGCTGCTGCCAGCCCCGGGAGGAGGAGCCCCGCAGCCGCGGAGGGCGCTGCAGCGCGGGCGGCACACCTGACCCACGGAGGTGCACGGTCTCTGGGAGGAAGCCGTTGTCGGGAGGAGGCTGCCGCGGCTCCCGCCGAAGGGCGGAAACCCTCCGTCCGAGGCGCTCCAGGAAAGCGCCCGGCGGAGTCCGGCCGTCTGTTTCCGGTCCCGTGGCCGAGACCGCGGGGCACGCTGCAGACGCCCGGCCGCCTGCCGCCACGGTGGCGGCCGGGAAGCGTGGTCCGTTGTTGGTGGCGTGTCGCACCTCCGAGGCTTGGAAAGGCGCAGCGACTGCACGTCTGGCGCCGTGCTCGGGGCGCAGTCGAGGTGCCGGCGGGACTGCCCGCCTTTCCGCGACCGGAACCGAGGGGCCGCGGGGCGCTTCCCTCCGAGAGCGCGGAGGGGACGCACCGCAGCCCGCGCGGAGGCCGGCGGGGCCGGGACTGGCGACTCCTGGCGGGGTGGCGCACGGGCGCCAGCGCCAGGCCTGCGCGCTCCGGCGCCTTTGGCTGCCATTGCCCAGCCAGTGGGCGTCCCTGCCACCTTCTGGGCGCCACGCTGGTCAGCACTTGGCACCCCCAGACCGAAGGCTTCTCCTTAGCTGGTGCCCGTCTGGCGCCATGGCACCGTCGCCCTCCCAGGGCCGCCCGGACTGGCTGTGCGCCCGTCGGGGAGCGGCCGTCGTTCGCACGCGCGGTTATGCGTGGTGTGGAGGCGCTAAGCATCTGCGTCAGCGCGCTGATCCCGGAAGGCGGTGGGTGCAAGCCTCGCCGGGACCTCCCAGCGGTGAACGCGGGGAGCCGCGGAGCCGGGGCGCCAGGCCGCGGCCTCTCCCCGGACGCTGATGGGCGGCGCGTGCAGTCGTGGGAATGCCGCCGTGAGCAAAACTCCCGAACTCACCGATCCCCTTTTGTGGACCTGACTGTAAGTGTCTTTACTTAAAACGTGGTGCTTTTATTTTGGTTGGGGCTGAGTGCTGATGGCTGACCTTCACAAAGGTAGGCCTAGCAACATGGACCATTACAAATCATCTCTCATTTTTCAGTCACTTCCCTCTCGTCTCCAAATCAAGAGGCTTCAGCGGTTTTTTGTGGAATCCAGTTTCCACCTTTGCTGCAGATCTTTTTAGTCTAGGAAACAGCTTCTTTATTAGTGAACATATCATGTTTTAAACTTTTAAACTGTAAAATATAGCTTTGCCATACATCAGGGGTTGCTACTAGTTTGTGATTTTTAACAATTTCCGTTCATGCCTTATGGCTGTATGGTTCACCCAAGTGGTGTACAACCAGGCTTCAAAGTGGGGTGTTACTGTTTTATTAACTGTGGACAAGAGCTTTAGGTTCCATCCTGGGAAGCATTACATCTTCGTTGGAGATCTGTGTACTTCATTGCTTACCTTTCTTGTTCTGTGACATTGATACAATTTCTGCTGAATTTCACAGTAGCTAAATGCCTTTGGGATTACCTTGACAGATTTGATTGTGCATGTCGTGTTTGAAGGGTGCTGCTGGGATGTGCTGTAGCCAGCTATTAACATGAAGAAATTCATATTAAAATAGGCTGATATTAAGGAAAACATTATTTATTTAATGCAGTACTTGTGGAATAGAAGATTTTAAGACTTTTGCAACTAGTGTGAGAAATCCGTGTTGTTCACATATATAATCCTAAATTTTTTTTTTTTTTTTTTTTTGTACTGGGGATTGAACTCAGAATCTCGTGCTTGCCAGGCAATTGCTTATGTAAAGCCCAAAGAATTTTTAAAGTGCAAACTCCAGCCACAAGAGACCTCCCACTAGTCCTTGACCAAGAGGCTTAAGTAACCCTTATCTTGGAACCCAGGTGGAGTCATAAAGCCTCAGGCCTGGCTTAGGTAAACATTTAATCTCCAACCTGGGGGCATCCTTGTGAAATAGGACACCTTACATAGATAAACCCACCAGTTCTGGGAATGCAGCTGAAACTACAAAGTTAACTATTTAGTTGCCCTGTAGCCTGCTCCTCTTAGTTTCCTCGAAAGGTCATATATTCTCAAACCCATCAATTATTTTAT